CCATTCTCTACAACTTTTATGTTTTAGGCCAAACCTAATTCGGCCTCTAACTATGAGTAATAAAACTGGACAGAATGTAAACATAAAATTCCAGAAATCTGGAGTTTTTGGGATTTCATGACAATCTATTTATTTTCTTGCTTCCAACACTACCAAAGCCCCTTATATAATCTTATATACAACATATACTAACTATACAACAAGTTTAGGCAGAAATTTATCTTGTAATAAAGCCAAAACATGAACTAGATAACATCTTAAACCAAAATTTAAAAGAACAAGAACCATGATCAGATCTTATACCTCAAAGACAAAGCTTGGAAGAGTGATACTCCACCTCCTTTGGAAATTTTTAGTTTCCCTAGCTTCTCAAGCCCACAACTAACACTTTAACCGGTTTAGAAGTTTAATTTCTCACTTGGATGGCTAAAATCAAGAAGAAGGAAGTTGTTTCTTGCTCTCTCTTTCTCTCCTCTCTTGTTCGACCAAGCAGCAGAAATAATGAAGGAAAAGGAGCAAAAATTGGGGATAAGAAGGAAGATCATCTCTTGGTCAAGAAACCCTTAGATGGCGACACTTGGTGCCACCACCTCCTCTCATTTTTCTCTTTCTTTTCCTTGCTATTTCCAACCCTAAGTTTCGGTCAAGCTAGCTGGCAAATGAGAAGATATTTTGCTCAAGTATTAATGAGCTTGTATGGTAAGAAAGTGGTGGTCAAGTGGTGCGTTCAATCGGTAATGCACGGTACTCGTCGGTTCGCACCGTTTTTCTTAAAAACACATGTACTAGGGTTTTTTCTTCCTATTCACTAACCTTATATCATTGCCCCTAATCACATATTATTTCTCACTTAAAAGTCACTTTTAATCACCAAATTTGATCCTTGTTCCATACCGAAAATTCATCCGGCGAAAAATCGCAAAAACCCTAATTTTGCCCCAATCTTGAAACCAAAAGTGAAACCTTACTTTCTAGGTTTATTTGCACTTATTGTGGAATGATTCGGTGGTAGGGTTTTAATAAATAATAATTTCCAAATAAAAGGTATTTTTGAGGAAAATATAAGAAATTTGCGAGTTCTCACAGTATGGACGAGTATCCAAGAGTCCTCACAGTATGGACGAGTATCCAACGGCCATTACTGTTACTAATGAACTCAACCCCATTGGTAGTCGATTAGATCGAGCCGGCGAGGGCTTGGTCGTGAAAATTGACTAGTCATGGGGACTGTTATATGGAATCTTGTAGTATGAGACTCTCGATTCCGGTATACTCGAGTATTACCAAATTTATACTGTTTGGAGTTTGGGCCCGGTATGGGTATGTTGGGTGGAAGGAATGGAAGTAAAGTGGAACCTACGGTTGGTTACTTTGTAAACATTGACGGAGGGTCAATGAAATCCGATCAAGTATACAAGCGAGGAAAGGGGCTCTTGAGAGCCGTCCGTATCCTTTTAACCATGTTGTGAATGTGTGATCTTGGTTTACTTCATTATTGAACGTTTTATGCCTGTATGAACTTGGTTGTTTGAGTGATAGTATCTCAATGGGCGTAAGCTCACTCTATTCCTTTTGTTTTCCTTACAGGAATATAAACACTTTTGGAATGGCTTTTGATAGTTGGTTGCCGAGTTGAGCTTGTTGTAACTATCTTTTGAATAGCTCCTTTTGGGCAAAACCCTAAGTGCATTTTGATCCAACCAAGTCGTTGAGTTGTAATTTGCAAACCGTACATGTACAAACTTGTTGGATAACTTTTATATGCTACTTTGGATTGTAAATGCCTAATTTCAAGGTGTATATGTTTGATGGATGTTTGGTGAGATTCCGGCCGGATTCTGACGTGTCAGTTACTATTCATGTCGGCTTCGATTTTTCATTTTTTTTATTTTGTGATTTTGACTTGTTTAAACGCGCTTGTATGTTCCGGAACGTTTAGATTGTACTGAACTGTCCCGTTAGTCCTGGCGAGAGCTAGGCAGGCAGTCCGTCAACCCCTTTGGTTCGCCTTAGGGGAAGGTGGGGCTGTCACAAGTTCTCTCTCAGACTTCGTAGTAATACTCGAGTATACCAAAATACTGTCCCAGGGTCACCAGCCGCCCGACCGAGTCCGCTTTTGGCTCGAGTCGACTGGCAACGAAGGGCAACGGCCCAATTCAGCCAAAAGACTTACATTCATGCACAAGTAGCATTCAATCATTTAATCATTGAAAATTTCACGTTCACTTAGATCGAGTGCGATAAAGTACACACTCACCTATCGAAAATTCATTTAACAATCATTGAAAATACATTTAACATTCAAGCAAACATTCACAACAATCTACATAGTCATTGGAAGCACAATATGCAAAGAACACTCACCAGTTTAAACAAAATAACGTCAAAAGTTTTCTTCCGGGCTATGCCCTTGATCACCGACAAACTCTAAGAATAACCAAGAGAAAATATTATGGTTCAACCATTCAAAGTTTAGGTGAACCAAAGAAAATCCGAGTAACTACTAGTACAAAGGTTCAAATATAGTTTTGGAGTGAAAAGAGAACATTTAGACCCAAGGACCATGAGGAATCAAGAATTTCCTCATTCCAATCATAAACCCAGCTCAAAATGGTTTAACAACTCCAACTTAAAGTTGGAAATGAAAATAAGAACAATTTTAGGAAAACAGAATTTTTCCAATTTTGCACGATGCTATTTGAAAAATCATATCTCAAGCTTCTTAAGTCCAAAATTTATAAACTTTATACCGTTGGAAAATAGATTCAAATATTTACAATTTCTTAGAAGACAACTTTGCAAGATTCTGTCCACAAATCAGTCAAAATTCAATCTCAAGTGGCTGCTTTATCCAGTAGAAAGACAGAATAGGAATGGAAATTTAGTCAAATTTGGAAAATCACAGATATTCATAGGAATTGAGAAAAATTCTGAAATTTTCACGATAGAAAGTACTCTGAATTTAGTTTCAAACGCAAGAAGTAAAACTCAATTTGGATTTTTCTACACCAAGATATGACAAATTTTCCAAGACTGCTCAGAGTCTCTTGCGAAAAAAATTTCAGCAGCACTTCCTTTGTGTTTACCAATTTTTCCAACCATGTCAAGGCTACACTTTCACCACAAGACAGCCCCAATCAAGTTCATAAGATATATGATACATAGAGTACTTATTTTAACCACAAAACTAGCTATAACCAACATATATCTAGGCTGAAAATTAACCAAACCCTAGCAAAACCATGAAATTACCATAAAACATGCTTCCTTCAACTTCAATCACAACATATCTTTCTTGCATAAATCTCAAGAAACAAATAAAAAGAAATGTTTTCTTGAAATTTTACCTCAAAACCCCAAGATAACAAGCAACTCAAGAGCTTTCTTCCTCAAGTAACTCCACCAAAAGTTTCCCTCTAAGGTTAACTCAAGATTAATCAGTATGGACTAGGGTTAGTGTTTGGATTTTTCACAAATCAAGCAATAAAATCAAGATGGAATTTGGAAATGTTTTCTCTCTTCTTTTCTCTCTCAACTTCATCTATCATGGAGCAAGAAAGTGATGGTTTATCTTCAATTTTTCCAAGATAAATACAAAGACTAATCTTGGTCAATATTTGGTTGAAGGGTTGACAAGTGTCACCCAACTATTTTGTCTTTCTTTTCCTTTTTCTTAGTCAATAATGGAGGCTGACTTAAGGATTAATTTAGGGAAATTAAATGAAATAAAAACAAGGAGATTAGGGTATGAAAGTATTTGTCAAGCGGTGTACTTAACCGCTAACAAACGGCGCACGTCAGTTCAAGCCTATTTCCCTTAACTCCCTTGTACTTTTGTTTTAACTTATGATTCACTAACTTATTATTAGCACTTCTAATCACACACTTCCTCTTACCTAATACTCACTCTTATCCACCAAATTTAGTGCACACACTTCACCAATTGATCATACTACCAAAATGCACCAAAACCCTAACTTACTCTAACTTTAAAAGTAAAAATAAAACTCTTGACTCAACTAATGAAATCACCATGAAAATTAGGGCTAGTAAATAGTTAAATAGCCAAGTAAAGAAATATAGAAGGAAATATAAATTAATTTTTCAAAAATGGGAAAAAATTCTAAAGGAATTTTCGTGTCCTCACATATATTAGGGTAATTTGGACATTTGGCCCACGAAATATCACGATGGATGCTTTCCATTTGTTAGACATTTCAACCCAAACCACAGGGAAAGTTATGTATAGCTTTTAGAATCATGTGGGGGGGGTTATGTGGTTTATTGAGAAACCATAGGAGGGTAAAGTATAATTTGCCCTTAATTTTTTGAATTGTGATTTTAGGAGGCTGCTTTGCAATGGAGATGAGAGATAAAGAAGAGAACAAAAGGAGGTTGTTAGGGTTTTTTTTCCCTTCTTAATCGTGATATTGGGAATATTTTTTCCCTTTTCTTTAGTAGTGACTTTTGGAAGATTTTTATGTTAATGGGTTTTAGTTATACAGATTTTGTTTCTCTACTTGGTTATTTGGTTGGCTATTCGGTTAACTTAATGTGGTCTGAGTGGGTTTAGGATTGATTTATTAAATGACACTTGGCATGATAAGAACAAGCGAGATAGGAAGTGAATCAGGAGGGTTTGAGACTGAAGATCCATTGGAAAAAATTAGAATTATACATTTTAAGTAGTTGGAAAGGTAAAATTTATCAATTAATAGTTGAATGGACAAAAGTTGAACTATATAATAGTTTGAGGGTCACTGCTATACACGTCATGCTATTTTGTTAAACATAATGACTCAATTTGATGAAAGGGTTAGAATTATATGTTTTGATTAGTTGAAGTGTTAAAAATTATTAATAAATAGTTAGTGACTTGAAAGTTAAATTGCGTAATAATTTGAGCGTCATTGGAGCATTTTGCAAAAAAAAAAAAAAAGAAAAAAAAAGAAAGAAGACGACATAGCTTGCATTATGTTATGTTAAGGAAAAAACCACCATCGGCCTTTTAGCACCGAAGCCTTCCCAATTTAAAAGCCTAAGGTTTACACCAGCGAAATTGAGAACACAAATCAACCCCAAATTGAGCCCAAATTCATCATTAAAATGTCTACTTATGCCGAAGCCATCTTGAGCTGCTACAATTCAGAGAGATTTATTTTTTTCGCTTGATCCGACAAGTGCGAAACAAGAGACGAATTGGGTCAAACCCATCGCCGAAAATAAGTGCCACCAGCGTTGCTGCTTCGTCCAACTGCGGGAAATAGGTAGGTCTAAAAGTTGTTCATTGTTGCTGTCCGATTGTTAATGGTTTAGATGAAGAAAATTTTTTTCCCGTAGCTTAACTCCATTGCTGCTGTCCGATTGCTAATGATATTCTTCTCCATGTTAGCTTTCAAATGATGACTAATTATGGTTGATTTGGCGTTATAATGTGTGCATTGTGAAGGGTTTAGGATTTTGTGAAACCATCATGCACAGTTGTTCTCTCTGCTAAATTCTAAATACCCAATAGTTTGGTTTTGGCCCTTTTTTTTCAGACTTATTATGCAAAGTGTTATTCCATGGTGATTCATGTTCTTTTTGTAAATTCAGGGTTGACTTGTCAAATATCTTCTGTCTTTTGTGTCCCATCTGATTTTTCACTCTTGAATATGATGCTGCATGTCTTGTACATAAAAACACATGGCTTGTAATCAATCAAACAATGAGGAAATGAGGAATTGAGTTGGCATTTAGTTTGTTACAAAGGGTAAATCCCAAGTATTGCATATTCTCCCCATCTCTTGCTGACTGAATCTTTAACCCTCAAGTACCAGCTCCTCAGGCCCGCAAGTTCTCTCTCCGCCCATCCAAGCAATTGCAAACACAAAAGGATGCTCTTTCCTTTTGCTTTTGGATCTATAGATGCTGGGTTTTGTACAAGGAAGGATAAGAAGATCTCAGAACCCAATGTTAACTTTGATTCTGACAACTACAAAAAGCCGTTGAATGACTGATTTACATCAGTGATTTTGTGTATATCTATTATCCCCTTAATGTAGATATACAAGATTAGAAACTTGTGTATATTCATATTGAGTGTCTTAAATATTCATTCAGTTGCGCATATACTCTTCTGGGATTAGGGAGAACAGAGAAAGGAAGGGAAAATAAAGAAGAGAGAGAGTGTGTGAGGAAAGGTAAACAACAGAAAGGAATGAAAATGCTCATGGTTTTGAGTCAAATCAAAGAGTTTGTTTTCTTTTCTAATCATCTAGATATCTCTGTTTTCCTTTATTTATGGCCACTGTGTGTTAGTGCTCCATTTTTGTGCATCTTGCATATGTATTACTTCTTTATTTTAAGTTGTGAAGTTAAACAACCGAGTGAGTATTATGTTACTTTGATACCTTCTTTTTTTTACCCCCTTGTTTTAACTTGTAGAGACGTACATAAATAGTGGATTATCCTAAAAGTGACTGCAATGGAATTTTGTCCAACTTGTGGGATGTTATTGCAGTATGAATTGCCACATATGGACCGCCCTGCCAGATTCTTCTGTCCAACATGCCCGTATGTATGTCACATAGATAGTAAGGTAAGCCATTATAAATCCTTGTTGAGGGTTTATTTACTGGCTATTCACAATGTCTACTGTGTCATTGCTGAGTTATCAATGCATGCGGCAGGTTAAAATAAAAAGAAAGCATCGGTTAGTTAAGAAAGAACTAGATCCTATCATTTCCAAAGACGACGAGCTTGACAATTTACCAGAAACTGAAGGTTCGTTATTTGCTGTACTCTTGTATACATCCTCTGTTTGATTGACTGGTGCATGCTTGAATTAAGAAGTTTCATAGAGCTTCAGGTGTTGTTTTTGGATCCATTGCATGTTTCTTAAGTCATTTCCAGCATAACCAATATCAAGTTCTCTCTAGTTTGCATTTCTGCTTTCTCATTGCCCTACATGGGCAGGTAGGGGTTTAATTAGAAATCTTCTTGCTAAAGTTACTTTTCAATGTATGTTTAGATCCAGAATCATGTCTAAGTGCTATCATGTTCCCTGAATGCTTTATTAGGTTGGTGTAGATTTAATCTGGGCAAAGCAAGCTTGAGCTATCTGGTTGAGGTGCAGAAACTGCTAAAACTTCCATAGGATTACCATACGTAATTTGGTCCTGATTCTTTATTTCTTTTCTTCCAGCTCCGTGTCCTAATTGTGGTTATCTTAAGGCAGCCTTTGGTCAACAACAGACCAGATCTGCTGATGAGCCGATGACAACCTATTACACATGCAAGAAATGTAGACACAATTGGAAAGAAGACTAACATTGCTATTCAAGCAAAATCTTTTGGCTTACTGCTGGTTTTCCATGAGGTTACTCTTTTTAGGGGAAGCATTACTCGTTGATTGGGTTGTATTTCTATCAATTCAGCATTAAGCATCTTGGTGTTTTTGCAGAGGCTCCGTGCCTATGACTGTTTGTTGTGCTACCTGGAATGATCTATACTTGCCTCTTCTTTTCTCATAGTTCTGTTAAGCTAACTGAAAACCAAGAGCTAACCTTCTTTAATTAGTCATAATTTTCACCATCCTGATAGATGTGCTTGGGTCGTTTTATGTCTGTTGAAAGTTTCTGCTTTGCTATTTCTTTTTTGTTGACCATTTGTTTGAGAATTAGACTAACGGTCTTCCTCAACTGGAGTTTCCCTGCAGTTGGCAGAAAAACTGGGCCATTATGTCGATGGCTGGAGATTGAGTCAGGCCTGATCTTATCTTCCTCGTTCTAAGTATAAAAAGAATTCTCTTAAAAGAAGGGTCTTCCTCAACTTATGCCAAGTACATTGTTTGAGTTGTTCAAAAATAAATAAGCAAATGAAAGTCATTTTGCTATGCCTGGCGTTATTGCATTGCTAGAGCAGAGCAATTTTGCTCTAAAATATTGAAATGCCCTTCACTAGGCAAACTCAAAACTCCCACTAAACTAAAGGGTTAATGCCAATGCAGCTTCCTCTCTCCTTGTGTACCGAATACACTTTTGGGGCCTCAGATATGGTAGAAAACAGCTACCCCAAGTATGGCTATTGAAAGAGGGTTAAAATTATAAAGCCAGTTCATGTTTTCTATGGCCTTCACTGTTGACTCCATGGAACAAACCAAAAGTCCAAAACCAATACGGTGCAAATAGCAAAGATCCAACAAAGGAACTGATCTAGAAGATAATGAGGATCCTTGTCTCCCGCTTCCAATCTTGAATGCATAAACTTGTTTCTTTTGAAGAAATGACATGAAATTGCGAATGTTTTCAAATGCAGCCCTCCATAATTAAGAGTGCCTTTTTCGTAATATTATGGTACCACGAGCTCTGTCCATCATCTTATTTATATGCCAAACATCGAGTAACGAAAAGGAAGGAATCCGTCCATGTATCCATGGTGGATACCAAGTAGATGTGTTAAGGACAAAGTCATGGGCTGATGAAGAAAAGGCTAGCCTGCATCTACAAATTGTAGCCTTAATTGGGAAAGCCGAAAAGGCAGTAGAGCTTGGAAGGAGGAAATGTGAAAAAGGAGAAAAAGGCAATAGTCACTAGGCTTGCTTTTGACCAATTGAGAAAAAATTGAGTGTTCAAAGCAAAATCGCTCTAGCAGGAAAGTTTTACGCTGACAGTATCACCAACTTTTTGCTATGACTAATGCATGAATTTTACTCTTTTTTTTTTTTTGGGCACTGTGGGTATCCGGGACCACCCGACTAATTCCACAGCGCTCAGGCAGAGCGGGTCCGACCGATGCCTAGGACGGTAAACAACTGAATTGCAGACTGGAATCGAACTCAAGCAGATTTGGAGTAATGACCCCGCCTCCACCGTCCGAACAACCCAGCGCGGGTGCACGAATTTTACTCAACATCACAGGAATTGGTATGTAAAATGCACTTTATCAAATGAACGGAAATCAAAGGGTCAACTAATGTGATATCTGCAATTTTCACATGCTCATAAGGACTCGCATGTTAACAAGGAGGTGATATTGGATGATATCCTTTAAGTTCTTAGAAAGGAGGTGAGATCCAAATACAGGAGGTTTCAGTCTGCACATTCACGAGCCTTCAGAGATGGTTTTGCTTGGTACTGAAAACCACAATAATTTAAAAAAAGAAATAGAATACACAAATCAAATGCATTGATTTTCTTTTTCCTTCAATAATCTGCTAATTTCTTTTTTGTCATCCATCTTTTGCTGGTGGCTTCAATTGCCTTCTCTCATTCTAGATAGTTCTTGAAGCCACTGATGTTGTATGTCGTTGCATCTAACTCTGTCTTTAACTCAGTTTCCTTACTACAAAGATGAATAGCTTGTTAGATTTGTAACTTTAGAAGCTTTACTTAGATTTGTGAAACTTGTTACATAATTCTTTACAACTTCATTCCAAGCTACATGTTCTACGCCACCCCAATCATTTTCTTGCATCTTACATTCGTCATTATAGAATTCCGTAAAGCCCATCTTAGAAGTGCTATAACATTTAGAGACCTCCCTAATATTATAATCAAGAGATTCAGAAAGTTCTCATTCCTAACCGATGTATTTTCTCCCATTACCTCAGAAGTTATTGATCCACAGGATACTTCACCATCTTATGTGGCAGGTTGAAGAAAGTCAAATGCAGTGCAAGGTGACGTATCACTTGGATTTGTATTGGTACAAGAATTATCTTTATTAGCCATGATATTCATTCGAAAATTGTTATTAACCATAGTATGACTGTCTAGCTTGAGTCCCAGCTTGGCCGGAGAGCCACTTGGAGTTGAAAACCATATTCTTGCTACTAAGTTTGGGCCTGCCGTTGAAATGCCTTCATACATCCTTTTCTCCCCACTTCAACAATCATCAGACAAGGGTACCCAACTATAAAATTCTCAACATCAAATAGTCAATAAAATCAACAATAAAAGCTACGTCATGATTTGCCAATGACAGTTGTTCCACCATCTCTCTTGCAACAGAGAGTGCGGAGTCTGTATCAAGACAGAAAAGAAAATATATGTTCTTGACTGGACCTGCAGCTGAAACAAAAATCAATGGAGACAAAAACCTATTATATTGTCAAAAATAATATAAAGCAGTAGAAACAATAGTTAGGCAATTACCACGCTGGTCCGCTATTTGTAGAGTTAACGTGTAAAACCCACGGTTTTGGGTTCAATTTTTTATTCTTACCCAATTAATTAAATGGTAATTTACCATGAGTAAAAGTAAAATTAATTGTAAGATAGGTTAAATGGTTAATTGGGGGATAGGAATGAGATAAGATAGGATAAAAGTTCACAACAGTTTGAACCCTTATCTAAACCACCAAATGGTGGGTAGTTATTAGGGTTTATCACAATTATCAAAAAAAAAAAAAAATCATTCCTCCCTTTCATTGTCTGCCTCCCCTTAGAGAAAGAGCCATCAGAGAGTAGAGAAGAAGAAGAAGGCATCGCTGTCAATCAATCAGTAACTAGGCACCTAGACCTGTAAGTCCCAAATTCACGTGAAAACTCCTCTTTTAAGTTCTATTAGTCGCATTAATTATTTTAAAGATTTTACAGATATATATTATGTTATGTATATATATATATATATATATATATATAGATATATGCTTGTATAGGAGATTTAGGAGGATTCGTATCTGGATTAGTAGGATTAGGGTATTAAATTTTAATTACGGGATGAATAGGATTTACCCAAATCTATTGGAAAGTTATAAAAAAAAGAAAGAAAAAAAAAAGAGGGGGAAGGGGAGAGCAGCGGCGCTAATTGTGCACCATTGCTGAAGCTTAATGCGAAAAAATAAATTAGGAGAAGAGTCACTAGCAAGTGGCTGGCGACATGGATCAAGTAGGAAAGGTTGGCCGAAAGAAAAAAAAAAAAAAAAAGGAGCCCCCAACAAGTGCTGGTGACAGAGGTTCCATTAGAAAGGTTGGCCCAAACCTTTCGACCAATCAAAGGGAAAAAAATTATATTAATAATAATAGATTCTGAAATATATATATAGTATGGGTTTAGTGAATATCCAATAATTAAATTTTAGGTATATAGGAACTAAATTTCAAGACCCAACCTAAATTAAGTGAATATTTTAAAAGATTTCGTCAGTAAGACTTATTTAATTAGCCTAAGGTATTTAAGTAGAAATCTAAGACATTTTAATTTATCACTATTAGATTAAGTTATAAAATATAAGATAGGTTAAATGCTTAAAATAATAACAATAATAATAACAATATAGATATAGATGAAGTAAATTAAATATAAAAATGAAAATAAAATGAAAATATAAATACAAGTGGAGTAAACTAAGTCAATAATTACAATAATAAACCAATATATATACATAAATAGTAATAACACCCATACATGCGCAAAAATGGAAGTAAAATAAAAGATAATAGGAATTAATCATCAAATATATAAATGGTAATAAATAAAATAGCGATGACAAGGACAATAACAATAATGATGAATAATAATAAAATAATATATATACATATATATATATGCATAGTAAGATAATAGTCAAGATGATAAATATGATTATGAATAATTACTTTCTTTTAAAGTTAAGAAACTTTACAAAAGGGAAACTTTCCAAATTAGGAAACATTCTAAAAATGGAAACCTTCCAAAAATAGAAACGTCCAATTTAGAAATACACTGCTAGGATGTATGTAATGGTCTAGACATGAATTTTCTACTCGCTCGGAATTTGTATATTTATTCATTAATAGGAAATAATAACTAATTAGGAAACATATGTATTTGATAGGTACGATACAAGTTTAAAAGACCTAAAGTAGTTTCACTCGAGCAGCCAGACAAAGGTAGGTGGTACTTACCCTACTAAGATTTCAAAAGTTTAAAATGAAATTTTTGTCATCGATTATATTTTTACGTGTTAATCTGAATTGTTTTTGGTTGAATGATTTACTTGACTGTTTAAGCAAGTTCTATTTTGACTATACAAAAATGGATCATGTGACTTATTTGAGACTTCTTGATATGTTATTATATACCAAATGAGCTGTATCTTTTATGAAATCAAGACCTATGCATGTGACGTATGAAATGAATTAATATCAAGAAAATATCAAAATTGTCATGGAATAGACGGTAGGGGCTATAATCCTGTCTAATAGTCAAGGTAACCTGTAAGGATCGAAAACAACCTAAGAGGGGGATGAATTAGGTGGTTTAAAAAATTAGCCAAAATATGAGTCACTTTTTGAGAACTTGTCCTCTTTTTTTAAAGGACAACACAATGGAGCAATTGATGAGGAAGCACAACTGCTTGGGAGTAGAAGAGATAGACAATTTATATTGCAAGACAGTAAGTAAAAGGATAGAATAGCAAACCAAGTTTCAAATTCCACTTGAGTTTGAATACCACTTTATATAGTAAGGTTCTTCAAGTTGATCAACTTACAACCAATCTCTTGTGTACAAAGGAATGATCACTTCCTCCTCGCCCCAAGTAACACTTGGTCAAGCAAGGAAGTTTTACTATCATTCGGATAACCCTCACAAAACTACACTATTGAAGAAATAGAAA